TTTTATCCCGTGCCGTCGAATGATCTCACCCAGTGGCTTCATGTAGATATTAAATAGCAGGGGGGACAGGACCAAACCCTGAGGAACCCCGGCTTTGTAAAGTGGAGTCAACAACACTGGCAGCATGAAAACTTGATGAATAGATTGGCTCTTCAATAATTTATTTTAAGAGAAGGTGTTACAAAATTGTTTATACTTGTGATGGAGATGATGTCACATGAATACTTTTCCTTTGCTAGATTTTAAATTTTCTTTTTCTCTTTCTTCTGCACTTCTACTCTTTTTACTTTTCTACCTTTTTCAGTTTATATATTTAATTGTTATTAAATAAATTAATGTTAATGATATTGCTATTTTAAAAAAGAACAATTATACCAAGGCAAAGGTGGGTTGAAAAAGTTTTAGGTTCAGAGCCGTGAGTTAACATCCAGAAGTGGTTCAGGTAGATACCAGTACTTTCATAATTCAGTGGCGTATAAGAAGGAGGAAGGGGCACTGAATAATTGCATTGCAAGATTCTGTTAACATAGTCAATCCCAATAAAAATAAGTCTAGCCTTCCTGTGGATTTCTTGGTCTGGACTGCAAAGTAAGGTTAATATGTGCATATATACACACTAAATATAATAGAATTGTGTTGCCCTTGATTTTAATGAATTAAATTAATTAGTTGAATTGCACATACATTAATAATTATCAAATGATCGGGTATGTGTGTTTCTTTTCAGGTGAGCTTCAATCCTCAGGATAATACTCAAGTCTGTGTCATAGGAAATGGTATTTTCAAGCTATACAAATACACGGAAGGAACCTTAAAGCAGACCAATTTCATACGGGGAGAACCCCAAAACTATTTGTCCCATGCCTGGCTATCTGAAGATAAAGTGATTGTGGGTTCTGATACAGGCAAACTCTTTTTATTTGATTCGGGTGATTTACGGTGGGAGACAAGTATTGAGCGGAAAGAAACAACCACTGATATGTCGCATGAAGAACCAGCTGCAGAATCAGAAAGGTGAGATTTCTGCAAATTGTTTAGTCAAAGATATAAAAAAAGCATGATTCAACAGTTGGACTAACTCTCTAGTTTCTGATAAAGCTATATTATGATTATTATTGTATGATGACCTTGATCAAGTTACTATCTTTGAGTATTTTAAAGATATCATTAAATGTTTGCTTCCAAGAAACATTCTTGGTTTGGAAGGTAAATATCTACCTTAAATATACTAAATTCCAATCTTGAATTTGTAAAATGTGTTTATTCAGAAAATAAGCCATACTTTAAATCCTGGATGTAAAATGTATACAGCACAGCAACTTTAAAATCACATTTTGGGAGGACAACTATTGTTAGATATCCCTCCCCCCTGCTGACAGACTGACAGAGGTTTCCACCAAGGTCCTCTGTTCCGGCGGGAACAGAGGTTGAATCCCATTGGTCAAGAGGTCTGACAGATCCCTTTAAAAGGGGATGCTGGCCGACCATTCCGCAGCCGGATGTTTACTTGACTTGCAATTAAGAGCTGTTGTTACTGAAGCCTTTGTGTGCCTCCTTTACCCAATCTAACAGTATCGCTACTTTTTTCCCCTTCGCTAAACTGGGCATGGGCGCATCTGGCATGCAAACATGAGTTTGATAGCCCTGCACTAGCACTATCCAGTGGATACTGCAAAAATCCGGATGACTACGAGATGGCAGCTTCTTCAAAAGCAGACAAACTTCTTTAACATTGCTGTCATCTGACAGCCATTTTAATTTTTGCAGTACAGATTTAATAGCATTATTTTAGG